TCCCCTGGCCTGGCTGGGACTGAGTTCAATGCTCATTGTCCCTTCAGCAGGTGGCAGCATTCCCTTTGTTGTTTGGGGAAGTTTGATGTTTTCTTCCTAAGAAGGTCCTTTTCATGCCCCTTTCTTCCCTTTCTTCTCTCTTTTCAGTCCTCACTGATATGTGCCTCCTTCATACGTTTTGGAAATACCTTTCCAATCAACTTTTCCAATCATTCTTTACAACATGTGGCAATTCAGGGTTTCACATTTGATTCATTCATTCATTCATTTCTTCCTTCCTTCCTTCCTTCCTTCCTTTCTTGGTTTTCGAGACAGGGTTTCTCTGCATTGCCCTGGCTGTCTGGGACCTTGCCCTGTAGATCAGGCTGGCTTCGAACTCACAGATATCTGCCTTTGTTTGCCTCCCAAGTGCTGGGATTAAAGATGTGCACCATCACTGCCCAGCTCACGTTTGATTTTTAAGGCTCATCCTTGGAACTAAGTTCAGGAAGCACAGGACAGACAATGAACACCAATCACATCTCATCCCCTTGGTCTGTGTCCAACTCTAGGGCTACAAATGTTATGAAAAGTGATCTCTAGTCTAATCTTCCTATGGTACCTTGTCTGGGTTAAAAAAAAAAAAAAAAAAAAAAAAAAGCTAGGCTTTTGCCCCATTTTTGTTTAACTAAAGGAATTTCCCAGGCTCCTAAGTATTTGTAATGTTTTGTGTAGTAAGAGCATATAAATCATTGGTCCTATTTTCTTTGTATATATAATAGTTTGGTGAATGAAAGGGTCTTTGAGATTTCTTCTCAATCTTCTTCTATCACAGACAAGTCTGCTACCATGTAGGATGGAAGAAGGCTGTGGTACTGTAGAAATAACAATTATTTCTAGAGGGAAAGAATGTTTTGAGCAGAACATTGCTAAGTAGTACAAAAGCTGAAAAAATAGACACAGCTGAAGCAGTTGATACAGGAAAGAGAGGATATTTGGATCAAGACAGAGATCATATAACATACAGCATCCTGTAGCACACAGCATCTCTATGGCACACAGCATCTCTATGGCACATAGCATCACGGTAGCACACAGCACCCCTGTACTACACAGCATCCCTGTAGCACACAGCATTTCTCACAGATATCATTATGGCAGACACTGAGCAGACCTTTAGGCTTAAATACTGGAAATTTCTTAGTGAGCTCACTTATTTAAAAATGAAATTAGATCTGAACTTCCTCTCTGGTTATTTGATATTCTTTTGATAATAAACATTTATTTTTTAGCTTTAATTATATTAGGTGAAATCACTATTTTGTCTTATGACAAGAAAAGTTACCAGTGTAAAGAACACTTTTAATTCCAGTATGCTGGAGGCAGAGGCAGGCAGATCTGTTAGTTCAAGGCCAGACTGGGTCTACAGAGCCAGTTCCAGAATAGCTAGGGCTACACAGAGAACCCCAGTCTTGAAAAAAAAAAAACCAAAAAACAAACAAAACAAAGAACCCAAAAAACCCTTCAACACACAAAGAAACAAATAACACCTGAAGAGATATCAATCTCTCTCTGAAATGCTTTCCCTTCTTTTTATTCTCTCAGATATTTTCTGTGTATTTAGATGAGCATATTTACACACACACACACACACACACACACACACACACACACACACACACACGTTTTCAATTGACTTTTTTGTTTGTTTTTGGTTTTTCAAGATATGGTTTCTCTGTGTATTCCGGGCTGTCCTGGAACTCACAAAGTTTTCTGGAGGTGGAGGCAGGGGGATCAAAAGTGAAAGATCACTGTCAGCTACAATGAGTTCAAGACCAGCCTGGGATAAATAAGAGCCAGTCTCCAAAACAAACATCAGTCTTTCTAGAAAATTTAGGGGATTGGGAGTGTCTCTTTAGATATCAAGTGTCTCAGCCTAAAAAAAATGGCTTCAGGGGCCAACTATACAATATGCCCTTGAAATAAAGATCCAGGTGGCTGCAAAATGAGAAACTGCACCCATGCTCTTCATGATAGCTAGGTTATAAGCTCAGCTTTGGAGTAACTATATGAAGACAGGCAGGCCTTTCATCATTTTAGTTACCCCAGTTGAGGTTCTGGATATACAGGTTGAAACTACCTTGGACATTCCAGATCCAGCCAAATTCACAGCTGAGTAGACCATGTCTGTCCCTTGATCTCATCAGTGGGGAAAAGAATTGCCCAGCCACACCCTTCCTCAAGAATTGTGGGAAAACGAAGATGGTCGTCTCAAGTCACTGTTTTTTTATTTTTTATTTTTTTTATTTTTACTGTGATTTGTTGTGAAGCAATAGATAATTGAATCAGTTATCTAGCATCATAGTCGTTAACTTGACTTTGTGGGTTGTGAGGAGGTTGTAATAGTTTCAGTCCAAGGATTCATGTTCCCAAAGCTGACTCATCCTACTGAATGTGGACCCCGCTGGCCAGTTACTGTCCTACTCAAAAAGCTTAAGAGAGTGGGAGCACATAAAAGTCCCAAGTGCTTGTTGACTGAATCATTACAAGAATGGAGATAAGGCTCTCCTTGCCATCATGAAGATAATTTAAGCAGGTTTTGTCTGGTTTCTCTTTCAGAAAGGTGCTCCTCCTCCGAAGTAGTTGATGATCTAGAAGAAGCAATCTTGATGTCACTCCTATACCTAGCCACACGTGGGTTACCCTCATACATTTAGTTTCTATAATTAGAAGTGCTAGAACAGCAAACTATGTTCCATAGAGCTAGAACTGGAATTAAGACCAAAGTAGAAGATCTGACGGTCAAAGTTAATGGAAATAAAGTTGTTTTGTGTCACTCCCTGAGTGATAATTCCTGAATACCATGAGATCTCCTCCATGGTATGCTAGCACCCAGCTCAGCTTGTTTTTTTGAGACTAATGATATCATACAGAATATTTCTTTCCTGAGACAGGAAAAGTGGCAGAGAGCCATTTGCAAAAGCTTTGGGAGAGTTTAGAGTATAGAAAGCTTATAGACAGCAATGTTAAAGTTTCTCCTAGAGTATAGTATGCGTATGACTTATAGGAGGAAAGGCTGAGCAAACTGTGCTCATGCCTTTGATCCCAGCACTTGGGAGGCAGAGGCAGAAGGGTCTCTGTGAATTTGAGGCCAGCCTGGTCTAAAAAACTAGTTCCAAGGCAGCTTCCAAAGCCTATCTCGGGGGAAAAAAACTGGATGTGGATAATAGAAATAGTTGATGGCTGTTGTAGGTTCTACACTAAAGTGTCGTGTGTGTGTGTGTGTGTGTGTGTGTGTGTGTGTGTGCACTCCATTGTCCTAGTGCCTTTCTCCTCTCCCACACTCTGACCCTTCCACAAGACAGTTGTTAAGTCAAGTGCTTTAATTTTTAAGCAAGTGTCTTTTTTTTTTAACCTAAAAAGCACTTTCTAAATAATAGAAAATACTGGATTATGTAATATATAATTGGCTTTGAATTTAAATTGGCCTGTTCTATGGTTCTGAAAGCTTTCCTCTTATTTATTCTATTATTTGTTTCATTTTTTAAATTTACATTTACTTATTGTGTGTGCAAGCATGCACCAGCACATATACACAGTCCATGGCACATTGGTGCATGTTAGAGAACAATTTGCAAGACTCTGTTCTCTCTTTTGACTATAGCTTCTGGGGTTCTAACTCAGGTTGTCAGGTTTGATGGAACACACTTTACCCACTGAGCCATCTTACCACCCTGGTTTTTTTTTTGTTTGTTTGTTTTTTTCCGAGACAGGGTTTCTCTGTATTATTGCTTTGGAACCTGACCTGGAACTAACTCTGTAGACAATGCTGGCCTTGAACTCACAGAGATCCTTCTGCCTCTGCCTTCTGAGTGCTGGGATTAAAGGCATGTGCCACCACCAGCCGGTATCATGCCCAGTTCTTTGTGTCCCATTTATCAAAGAAACCAGGGATGACTTTTTTTCTGACATCTTTGGTGTGTAGTAACAATACAGTTTTGGAATCAGCTGTTAGAAACTATAATTAAAGCTGGTTTATCATACTCCCTAATTATTCTATAAAGTTAGTCTCCCTAGAGCTTTATATAATTCCTCCTTTGTTATAGGCTTCTGTTTCTCCCTTGGGTGTTTTAAATCCAGACAGGTAAGGAAATGAAGGCCTTGGAAACCAGTGTACTGTAGTATCAGGACAGCCAAGCAGATATATTTTCATTTGAACTTAAAGATTTTTTTATTGGCTGTCTGGGCTTTTCCCGTCCTGGCCTATTCACATCCTTTGAATGAAATAAAGAAGTGAAAAACACCAAAAATTTAAAAAGGCTACATCAGTATTTCAGAATCACTTAATTTTGTGAGAGGAAACTCTCAGCAAGACCTGATGTTGTTGTCAGCCTGGCCAACTTGGTTATCTATTCATTCACCATTAGGGAGTGGAGGAACCTGGCCTTCAGGGAAGCAGTTAACTGGTTTCCGGCTTTCTTCCCTCATGTGGAAGTATCTGTGGGCTGGTGTCAGGTTCCAGCACTTGAATGCTGGGATGTGCATCTCCTGTGCTCTAGAGTGATATTCTGGGAACAGAAATGGATCCCCTTTCCTCCAGCCCTGCATCAGGATGTTTAGGAATGAATGCCTTTCTTTTTCTTTAGAGGAAGATATCGGAGTGTCTTAGACAATCTTAGACTATGTAACATAAGATGGCTCCAGGGAAGAGGCAAAATAGGGTGATGCTAGTAACAGGGACTCTGGGGACAGGAACAAATGTGGGTCATTTCCCCCTTCTCAGCCTAGTTCTTTTGATGTAACTTCATCCTTATTTTCTCCACCGAGCAGTAGTAGATTCTCCACTGGGCACAATTTAGGTTTTTACCATGCATCTCATCTAACACCTTGACTTTGGGGGTTATATGTAAAATAGATCTCCATCTTAGATTAGGCTGTGTGAGCTAGGTTTATTTACATCTTTAGAAACCAAATGGAGTATTTACATCTTTAGAAACCAAATGGAGGGTTTTCTATTGTTTTTTCAAATTGCTCTCATCTGTCTTCCCTGCCTCCCCCAACTGACCAGAACCGTGCACAAAAACAGCCTGCAATAAACATCAATGCTTGCTTAGTTTAGGCTGCTGACTCCTGCAGAGAGATCTTAAAAGGATGCATCTAAATGCAAGGTTTGAGTAGCCTCAGAGATCTCTAATAGAACTGTAAATATCCCTGGTTTAATTAGCAGTCCTGGAGTTAGGTAATGGCCCGTGGCTCTCTGAGCCAGGCCTCTTGAGGTTTCTAGGCTTCAGGAGCTGCCTGCAACTATGCTGTGCACATACGCAATTTTCTTTCTCCTATACTTCATAAACCCTCAGCTGGCCTTCCTAGACACCTACTCGCAATTACTGCAATACCCATGATAATAGATTACTAATCTCCAAATTTCTAAAATGGCCCGGTGCCTCAGTTTAGGTCTCAAGTCAGATACTTTCGGACTCAAATTGTCACCCTGAGAACTAATTTCACCTCTGGGGAAAGAACAAAAAGGAAGAAATCCCTGCGTTGGTGTTGATGTCATTTTTCTCAAGGTGATCGCTTGCTTTGTGGCTGGCTCATTCGGGAGGAGGGGCTTGCACTCTAGTTATCAGCATTTCTGAACCAGCTCTCTCAACCGCGACAGGTCAGCCAATCCTGGCGGTAAGCTTTTACTGGACAGGTTTGTTCTGGGCGGACAGCCATTGACTAGGTGCTCAGATAAGTCACTTGGCTGAGTCTACAGTAGGTGGGGCGCGCTCACCAGTTCAGGGGCAGTGACTGGAAGTTTGTTGCAACATCGGTAAGCCCAGGCAGCCAGCAGCAACAGGAGATACCCTTTTGCCCCGCGAGTACAGGTCTGCAGAGGGTCCATCTCATTAGCAAAGGAGATGCGTCAGATCCCCTAAAGACCAGCCTCTTCTCCCACGGTTGAAAAGCGCGGTATGGGCAGATCCAGAGCAAGAGTCTCGGCCTTCTGCTTCTCTCGATGGGGTTGCAAGCGAAAGGGAAGAGCAGCCTGGGGAGTCTCCGCGTCACCGTGCACAAACCGGCGCGGCCAGCAGAGAGGGGTGGCGGGGGCACGTGTTTGGATGTGGGTGCTTGTGTAACCAGCTCCCCAGGCGCTTGGCCCCGACAGCGCTCCTGCGTGCTCCAGCGCTCGTGGGTGCTATTCTCCGCTCCGACCGGGATGAGCTGAGGTCCAGCCGCTCCCACCTGGGGTGACCATTCAGCAGAGCAGTAGGGTCCGAGCTCTCGCCTCAGGAGCACACAGATAGGGCAATGGGAATTTGGAAAGTTCCCCAACTAGGACCACACGTGACCTCCTCCTGAAAGTAGTTCCGACCGCGGCTCGTGTATCCTTCCACCTCGCCTTTGAGCCCTCCCAGGCCTGCTCGCCCCGCCCACTCTCAGGCTGCAGCTTCCGACCGTTCCACACTCCACACCCCGGCCCAGGAACCGGCTCCTGGACCGTGCACGGTCCGAGTGGAGCAGAACCTGGCCACAGCGACCCAATTCTGCCGGGTTTTCATAGCGGCCACAAACGGGAGGGGGAGGCTTAGCCACTTCAAGACAGAGGTTGAGTGATCCGGTGGACCCACCGCTGCGGGGAGCTGCGGGGCTCATCACCCAGCAGGAGAAGGGTGCGTGTGCGGTGCACCCTATTCATGGAGGTCCACTTTGTCCACCGAGGGGTATCCTCTGGGCCATGGATACTCTGGGGAGACGTGCATATACACGCCCCGTATGCACAATCGTCGTGCTTGGTTGGGGGCGTTCGTTCATCTCTCGGGCAAATGATCCCAGCCGCCTGGGAAGCAAGAGGTGGGGCAGGGAACCCGAGCCCGGTGAGGTGACCCACGCGGGAGACACAATAGGGGGTTGCTCTTTGTGCAAACACTGACACCTTGAGGACACCGTGGGGGTGGGGGGAGAGGTGCACTATCTAGGTAAAGACTGTCGCTGACAAATCGTAGCGAAGCACTGCAGTCTGACCACGGCGCAGGGCAGGCAGGGAATGCTAGCCCCATCCAAAGAAGCCCAGGGACGGAGGCAGGATGGGTGTCCCTGCCGCAGGGCCCTGCCCCTGGGGCTCCAGACACTGGCTAGCGCGGCCAGCTGGCCCGATGCACCGCTGAGCAGTCAGCGATCCTGCTCAGCGCAGCTTCCCTCCGTCACAGCCTTTCCTACCTTAGCCGGGTCTCCGCGCCGAGGCCGAAAGCCGGCGCAGCTCCCGGAGACAACCGCGGCCACACTGGGCATGCTCGGCGGGCGCCGCTCACCGCCCCGTCCCGCCGGCGCCCCGCCCCGCCCCGCCCCGCCTCCGCCCCGGCTCGGCCCGCCCGCCCGCCTCCCGCTCTCCTGCCGCCTCCCCTCCCGGCTGCCGAGGCGCCCGGCTCTCCTGGCGGGGCGGCGGAGGGGGCGGGCTGGCCGGCCGGCGCACGGTGATGTGGCGGGACTCTTTGTGCACTGCGGCAGGATACGCGCTTGGGCGTCGGGACGCGGCTGCGCTGAGCTCTCTCCTCTCGGAAGCTGCAGCCATGATGGAAGTTTGAGAGTTGAGCGGCTGTGAGGCCAGGCCCGGCGCAGGCGAGGGAGATGAGAGACGGCGGCGGCCGCGGCCCAGAGCCCCTCTCAGCGCCTGTGAGCAGCCGCGGGGGCAGCGCCCTCGGGGAGCCGGCCGGGCGGCGGCGGCAGCGGCAGCGGCAGCGGCGGCGGGCCTCGCCTCCTCGTCGTCTATTCTAACCGGGCAGCCTCTGAGCGGCTTCGGAGAGAGACAGACGGTGGAAGCCGTGGGCTCGGGCGGGAGCCGGCGCACGCTCGGCGGCTGCACCTCCCGCTCCTGGAGCGGGTGGGAGAAGCGGCGGCGGCGGCGGCCGCGGCTCCGGGGAGGGGGTCGGAGTCGCCTGTCACCATTGCCAGGGCTGGGAACGCCGGAGAGTTGCTCTCTCCCCTTCTCCTGCCTCCAACACGGCGGCGGCGGCGGCGGCACGTCCAGGGACCCGGGCCGGTGTTGAGCCTCCCGTCCGCCGCCGCCGCACCCCCCCTGGCCCGGGCTCCGGAGGCCGCTGGAGGAGGCAGCCGCTGCTGCGAGGATTATCCGTCTTCTCCCCATTCCGCTGCCTCGGCTGCCAGGCCTCTGGCTGCTGAGGAGAAGCAGGCCCAGTCGCTGCAACCATCCAGCAGCAGCAGCCGCCGCAGCAGCCATTACCCGGCTGCGGTCCAGGGCCAAGCGGCAGCAGAGCGAGGGGCATCAGCGACCGCCAAGTCCAGAGCCGTTTCCATCCTGCAGAAGAAGCCTCGCCACCAGCAGCTTCTGCCATCTCTCTCCTCCTTTTTCTTCAGCCACAGGCTCCCAGACATGACAGCCATCATCAAAGAGATCGTTAGCAGAAACAAAAGGAGATATCAAGAGGATGGATTCGACTTAGACTTAACCTGTATCCATTTCTGCGGCTGTTCCTCTTTGCTTTTCTGTCACTCTGATAACCTGGGAGTAGTCGGATGCGAAAAAAATTCCGTAGTTGGGGTGACTATAACGTTTAATCCTGGTCACACTTCTAGATCTTGTATTTTCAGTCTCTTCCAGTGTGTTCAAACCTAGGGGAGTGTTCAGCTAGACGGAACTCATGCCTGCTTTGCAAGTGTCAAGGCACGGATTGGTTTCTTGTCTAGCTCGGTGGTCTCTTCCTAAAATCTATTGTCCGTGAATGCTGAGTACTGTACATTGGATTAACGAGCTCATTAATCCAAGCCTTCTAAATGAACCAAAAATTAGATTCTGTGAGGTTGTGCATATTTCGATTAGATCGTGACTTAGGCCCTAGATCTAGGGTGTAGATCAGATTAAAATGAAAGTCCGTGCTGCACGTAGGCATATTGCCTCAGAATCTTGCAGTGATTGTTAGTTTCCTGGGTTGCGTTGATAGATTTTTCTAAAATGTGACCTGTGGACTGATTTGCATAACTTTATAAGCATAGTCATCCTCAGCGTAGATGGTGCACATTTGAGGGTAAAAGTAGGTCTGTGTGTTTAAACTGGGGTAATTACTACTTTGGAGCTACATGTAGTTCTGTAGTTTGAGATCAACAGTGCCAGAATTTGTGTCATTTGAGCTTTTAATAGAACTTTGTTAAATTAGACTTTGTTTCCTGACGAGACATGGGATGGGGCATAAACTTTGCATTTCAGTGGTATTTTACATTCATTTGGCCTTGCCATACGTGATAGGATAGAAACTGAATAGTTTTTGGTCCCAGATGATGATGTCCGTGTGAGTTCAAGGATATTATTGTATGTGGTGAATTGTTGCAGAGGTTAAACCTCAGCTCTCACATGAAATTTAACTATTATCGTGAACTGGAATTTGCTGCTCATATTTTTTATGTTTCAGGTGCTCTGACCCGTTGACTATCCATGGGTTTTACCCTGATATGTATAGAATGTCAAGTATAATTTAACCAGCTAATGCCCAGAAATACTAGCAAGAGTGGATCACTCTTCAGATTGTAGGTATGATAGCTTTTTAAATGCAGTAATTTCCTGAGTCAGCTTGTTGAATAAGATAGAAACCTTAGAATTTTTAACGGTGTATAGTTCTGATTGTCTAAAAGTTAGGCCTTTGTACTTCAAAAGTCCGTGGTTATCTTAAAGCATTTATCTTTGCAGTTTCAGGTATGATACTGGTTTTGGTCAGGGATATGAAGAGAGCCCTCCTGTTTTGGAGGAAGTATTGACAGATATTGAGAGCTTTTGGGAGGCTGGTGTGTGAGGTGTGTGGAAACACAAGTTGCTGGTCTGAAATGAAAGGCTTGAAAATCTATTGGGCCTTTTGTTATGACCAAATTATTTTTTCATGTGACTTGTAACAATGAGCAATATTTAGTTAAAATTATGTAATTGCATAATTGGTAATAAGTCATTCTTGGTAAAGGTTAATTATTAGTAAATACCAGTACACGTTTTCTTAAGGTAGGAGGGCAGCAACTTGTCTGTACATGCCCTGCTAATAATTAGAGCATTATGGAGAGAACTTTTTTTTAAGAAAATGTTTTCATTTGAAAGGTTTGGGATTTTCCTTTTGGATTGCATTAGGAGCATATAATATGCATAGCTAATTTTGACCGAGTTTTTGTTCTGAAATGAAGGTGAAATTCACTGAAGGACTGGCTTTAGAAACAGGTGAATTTTCTGTTAAGTTAAAAAGTACGATTTGAGAGGAATCTTTAATTTTTAAGTTTGCGTTAATTGAAAAGGTTTACTCAGGATGAACTTGACCCTTTCTGAAAGGTAATTGGAGAAAATTTCGAGTTATCGCTTGCTTCAAGGCATTTGGTGTGAATTAGTGATAGTAATCTAGATATAGAAGGAATTAGTCAGGTATGTTTAATTAAAAAAAAAAATAGGCCCTCATTCAAAAAAAATCTGGAATGCCTGGTAGTCAGGCTTTTTTTTTTCCGCTTCCACAGTAGTTTTGCTGTTCCCTCTTGATTTAAAATTATCAGGTGTATCGGACTCCAAGATTATTTATTTTGCCAGATTTTTATGTATGAACAGTGACAAGATTGCAGTTCCTTATTTGATTTCATAGTACATGGGCTTCTGCACATGCGATTTCTGTGACTTAGAATTCTGAAACTGTACTTTTTATGATATGCATAGAAAGCAGTATCAAATACTGCATCAAATGACTAAAAACAATTTCTAGAGCTGTGGTTTTATTGAGCCAAATGTTGATATGAAAAAGAGTCCGTGGGGAGAAAGTCGGTGAAGCCCTTGCTCTTGTGAGAGTTGTCCTCCTAATGGTTTTGATAAGCCAGAGGGGCTTGCTTGATTCTTCATCAGTGTGTTCTGTGTTTGGGGGCAAGAGTTAAAATACTCATTGAAGATTTGTACTAGTCAGTATTGGCACCGAAGCTGGCCAAATTAAATTCCTTTATGAAACTAGTAATTTGGGGTATTTCTATTCGCTATAGAAGGGTCAGCAATGGTGTACTTTCTGAGGACACCTGAGGAAAGTTGAATTTTAAAATCCTTTGCAAGACTGAATTATTGTAAGAATTTGGTTAGATTTCAGTCTGAGCAATCTAGGAAATAGGCTGAATGTGAGATTGCTAGATTTCACGTGTTTAAAGCCCATGCAGAGCTCAGGCTTCTGTTACATTTTTTTGTTTGGTAGATATTCACCCTTTCAGATACTGATCACGGGAATATTAGCACCTTGTAGTGATTATTAGTGTTAGCTGTTTTGTTACAGACGATTGTTGAAAGTAATTCCACTGTTTTTTTTAAAGATTCTATAGTCTTTATCTTGCATTTTCATAGTCTTTTGTTTCTTTCCAGAAAAAATGACTATATAATCCCTATGTAATAAGTTGCAAATTTCATTTTTCCTATACTTAAGAATAAAATGCTTCAAAACGAGTAATTTTCAGTTAATATAATTCAATGTAAAGAAAAGAAATTTCATTACATCAATTGTAAAAGTTGACATAGTATAGTGATGCAGACTTGATTGCTTTTAAAAT